GGGGGGGGGGGGGGGGGGGGGGGGGGGGGGGGGGGGGGCGGTAGATTAGTACAAGTAGCAGAATCCCGGAAGCGGGGGGGGCGGGGGCGGCCGACTAGTAGAAGCAGCAGAAGAACGAAATGCCCTAATTCGTGTGTACCTTTGGGCCCTAACAAGAAGGGGGTTTTAGTCGGCTTTTGAAAAAATCAGAGCACGACGACCTCAACCTTCGGCGTGCTGTTATGCTCGCACAGGACAGCAACTGGGGTCGTCCCAAGCGACCCAACACGCTCAAGGGGGGATGGCGATCCCCTCGCACCACCTCGAAGCTTGGTGCTGCCAAAAAGTTTCCGATGTTTTGTTTTTTTGCCATTACTTGTTAGATCACATAGAAAAGAAAAGAACGTACACATGAAGCAAGCAGGTAAATCCAGGTTCTACGGCGCCGTGGTAGCTTTCTACCCCGAGCACCAATCGCGCCATGGGCGAAGAGGAGGAAAATACGCAAACAGGAAAAAAACGCGCAGGCGTGTGCGCCTGCAATCCTGCAATACCGGTACACATCTGTACCTGCATTCCGAAGAATCTCGCGACCGGGTCTGTCGACTGTATCCGGGGCAGCTGGGTGTCCTTCAGCTTGTATCGCTTCAGCAGCTCTGCCTTTTGCTCCGATGAGAGCACCTGCAACGGTTTTGACAAGGAACAAGGAATACCTTACCATTTACACACATACATACCCCATGAGCGAAAGCACAGGCAATTGTGTACTCCATATGTCGGTTGACATCCTTCGTTATCATTTTTAATTCCTAGTGTACTGCTTCGAACATTTGTCGCTCTTACACCTCTTCAATGAAGAATGCTGCCGAGGCTAGTTCTAAAAGCGGCCACACGTCTGGAGACCTACGACGATAAAAAAAGTTATCTTCCTATCGGCCGGAGAAGAGCGCACGGGTTGAAATCCGATCGAATCCATTCGACCCGAATCACTGCGGAGAGGGAACAAAATTCATGAGCATAGTTACGTGCTTTGATTAGCGAGGTCAACCTCGGCCGCGCTACTCACAACGCGATCTGCTGCCGCCGACGGTTTCGTCTCTTCTCTCTGTCCGTTTGGTGCTCTGGCCCGGGGTTGAACCTAGATATTACCATCTACGTCGACAAAGCACTCAAGGGTCTTGCATTTGCAGACGACTGCCGTGTTGAAGGAGGCTTGCTGTGTTCATCAAAGCAAACTTCAACACGAACACAACGTTCTTCTTTTGCCTCCAAAGCAACGCCAGACTGCATGGGAAACCCTGTTACGGGTTGGGCAACACCTGTGGGTATTGAGGCGATGGCAGCCGCGGCCAAGCTTTACGACCCTGCGAAACTCGGCATCCGTTCCAGAGACTTTCGTCCAAACAATTAAAGCAGTCCCATGTCCATCGTCCTCGGTGTTTGCCATCGGGGTTGGGTTTTCGTCGCTTGGCAACGACG